CAGCAGTGTCCTGTGTCCCATCCCTGCTGGCTACCTCCAGCCCAGGTTGGAGAGAGCTGTTATGCCCCTCTTGGAGCAGCTTACTGGCAGGGGCATGGCTGGGTTCCCTGCAGTCCCTCTGGCTGTCCCATGCCACCCCAAGCACACAGTGGGGCTGTTCTCCATCTCTCTGCCCACAGCTTGCATCTGAACTGAAGGACACCATCTCCTGCCCCATCCAAAGTGCCAAAAGCACCATTGGCAGCTCTGTGGATAAGATCAAGGAGCTGGCAGCAGAGGGCTATGAGGCCACCAAGAGCACAGTGGAAACGACTGCTAAGTACACAAGGAAGAACTCAGTGACCCAGATGGCAGCTGCAGGGGTCGACACAGCCCTGGGAGGGCTGGAGAAGCTGATGGAATACCTGCTGCCAGAGGAGGATGAAGAAGCAGGTAGTCCTGGTGCCCAAATCCCCTCTGAGGGAGTCTGATGACAACTGTCTGGGTGGCTCCTCAGTTGTGAGGTGCATGGGGCAGGAGGCAGCCCCTGGATGTTGGCATAAGACTGCCTAGGAGGGTTGTCCCACCAGAATGTAACCCTCCCACCCTTCTTCTGTCTGTACTCTTCTGCCTTTAGATAAGAAGCCCAAAAAGAAACATCTGTCAACACCAAAGGCCTCCCAGCGGCAGCCCAGCACTACCACCACTACCACCACTCCCAGTGCTCCCAGTGCTCCCAGGGCTTCCAGTGCTCCCAGCACTCCCAGCACTCCCAGTGCTCCCAGTGCTCCCAGTGCTCCCAGCACTCTGGGCCGGATTGGCGCTTTGGTCAGCACCGTGTCCCACCGTGCTTACCAGCAAACCACCCAAAGCCTCCAGCGTGCCAAAACCAAAGGGCAGGAGCTGGCCTCCTGGATCCCCATCCTGGTGAGTGCCAGAAGCCACCTGCCGGGTTCCTGCTCCCCCATATCTTCTTTTGAGCTGATTTTGCTTTCAGACAGGATATTTCAGGCTTCTTGGAGCAAATCTGAGCACAGTACATTTCCCCTGCTCAGCAGGACAAGCTGGGGCTGGCAGTTCCTGCATGATGTTCACACATAACCATGTACCACATTAATGGGACAAGTTATATTTAGCAGGCTCTCAGTGTGCAATTGTTGATTTATGGCCTTGCCATAACATCCTTCCTAAAGGAAAAAGTCCCTGTGGAGACCCAGAGGGGATGGGGAGAAGGAGCTGCTTCTCCCACCCCATGCTGCAGTGGGAACATCTTGCCTGGCCTGTGCTAAAATCCCAGAGCTCCCATCTGCCCTCAGGATTTCTTCCCAGATGCATAAATCCCTGCTCCCTGTGCACCTCTGTGAAATCCTCAGGCTAAACAGGATGGAGTGGATGGGACCAGATCCCTCTGAGTGGTGCTTTTTGCTCCCGTTCCAGGGAAGCCTGGCCAAGCCGAGTGCCCCCGTGGCCCCTCAGCCCCGCAGTGATGGGCAGGGCAGTGTGGGTTGGCCGACCCGGCGTCAGAGCAAGGCGCCAGAGCAGAAGCAAGAGAAGGCAGGGAAGAAAGACACCAGCCACAGCAAGGTATGGAGAAAAGCAGAGCAGTGCATGCTCCAAAGCATCCTCCTACCCATTGGCCATGCAAGCATGGAGGCTGTTCCCCCACACCTCTGGGGACCAGGCCCCTATCCCGGCTCAATCCTGAACTGCAGCTTGGAGGATGCAGGAGGGGGTTGGCAGTGGGGCAGCCCCAGGAGTCCCCTTCCAAATCCCAAAGCTGGGGGCTGTGGGCAACCTCTGTGCCAGACAAAGTCACCCTGGCTTGTATGTTCAAAGCTCCTTTGGAGCTGTGAGACATCAGCACTGAACTCCCTATTAAATCTCTGAATAGCCCTGAAAAATCCCCTGCCGTGGTCCCAGCAGCGAGGGGTGGTGTGAGCTGGTGGGGCTGGGAACAGACTCCAACATCGGCTCCGCTGGGACCTGGGGACGGGAAGCAGCAGGTTGGGGTCAGTGCCCTTTGCCTCTGCCTGCAGCGGAAGCACAGCCTCGAGCAGAGGGTCCCTCGGGGGGGAGCTGGCAGGGACAAGGAGAGACCCTGCTGCAAAGAGCTGCGGTGCCTTTTGCAGAGCAGCGAGCTGAGATCTCTCGGGCTTAGAGCTGCAAAGGGGATGGGGAAACCAGGGCCAGCCCTGTCCTGCCTGGAGGGGCAGTGGAGCAGAGGGCCTGGCCAGTAGCTGAGCTGGTTTCTCTGGGCAGGCGGGACAGGACCCCGGGCTCGTGGGCAGCGTGGCTCACAACCTGCAAACCGCCTGCGCCTCCGGCATCTCCAGCGTGAAGAAGGTCCCAGCCGTGGCCTGGGATGCGGCAGAGGGCTTGATCCTCTTCACTCCCCGCAGGCTGTCCAGAGCCATGGAGACAGTGGATGCTCTCGGGGGGACCCTTGTCAGTGCCCCTAAGCATCTGCTGGGCACCCTGTACAGCTACGTGCCGGTGAGTTAACCCACAGCCAGACCCTGTCCATCTCCAGCAAACCCCATTTTGCTCAATCTTCTGCCACGAGCACCCCATAGCTGCAGGCAATGTCAGGGGGTACCAGACTGGGGAAATGGGGTGCCATGAAGACACCTCAGTCCCACCCTCCTCTTAAGCATCCCCCAAGTCATGACAGCAAATCCTCCAATAGAACAAATGGGTCAGACTGTGATGACACCTTCACACAGTTCATGCTCAAGCCAAGGTGTGACCACATTCCTGGGAAGGTGAAAGTTCAGGCTGAGACCTTGTTCTCTCTCCTGTACCTCAGCCTGTTGCTCCCCTGGGAACATTTCTCCACCACAGCTGCTCAAGGACTACAAGCCACCCATTCCCCTCCCCTCTGGGGCCAAACTGGTTTCTTCTGAGGTTCTCCCAGTTTAAGGGGGAGCTGTGTAGCACAGGTGGAGCAGGAGCTGGCAGGTTGCTACAACCTGGCTGGGTGCTCACCCCATCTCTCAGCTCCGCAGGCAGTCGGTGAAGGAAGAAGAAGCATCCAGGAGCAGCAAGACTGAGACGGAGAAGAAAGAGAAGAAGGAAGAAGAGGAGGAGACCAAGCCTGCTGCCACCTCCAGTGAGGAGAAATCCCAGCTGAGGAACGACTGGCGGCAGTACCGTGGCCATCACCCTCTCTCCTTCCTGGGGCTCGAGGATCCCCTCTTCCTGCGGCACAACTACTACCGCAGCCCTGCCTTCGACCCCGACTACCCATTCCCACGGAAATCCGCCTTCTCCCCCTACAACAGGAGGGTGAGTGAGGGCTCCTACCGCTTCAGCCCCGAGTCCATGTACAGCCGAGCCTACTATGGCAACTTCTACAGTCCTGTCTTCAAGAAGGACTGAGCCAGCGGCTGGGACAAGCACATCCCAGCCCCTCTCAAATCCCCTCAGCACGCTTTGCCTGGGCCCCTGCCAGCAGCCCACACACACCCCTGTTCCAGGACAGGAGCTTAAAGTGGTAGACAGGCCATGGGATAGCTTATTCTGGAGTGCATCAAAGCCAGGATGGGGGAATAAAGGCAACCAAAAGCCCTTCTGCTAGAAGGAGAAGGTAGGGGAAGGTGGGATTAGGAAGGTGAAGGACATGTAGAAAGAGCAGTGAGACCAGAAGGGACCACCCAGGCTGGCACTGGGCTACCTTGGACCCTGCTCAACAGACAGAGTGAACTTAGATGGACTACACATTGAGAACAGCAATGAGAGAGAGAGCAGGGAGGATGGCAAAGCTGTCAAACATCATATCAAACCATAGCAAGCCTGTTTCCCCATCCTTCCTCCCTCATCCCCCCTTGCAGGGCTCATCCCTAGGCACAGATTGCTCCTCCATGGAGGTGCTGAAGATCCCCACCAAACAGCAGGATTCATGAGTAGGAAAGACCTGGGCACTTCCCTCTCAGCTGGTGGTGGCATGGATGGTGGGGTCAGGAAAAAGGCTGGTGAGAACAGATGGAGCTCCTGGAGCCCCTCTCCTACAGGATCACCTGGCTTCCCACAACACCTTGTATCTGCTGCAATAATAAATCTGCAATAATAAAGCACCTGCCACTCACCCCGTCTGCTTGGCTCGTTTGTGGGACTGAGACACCAAACCAAGGGAACAGAGTGGGGTGAGACCCTCAACTCAGGGCCAAGGGAGTGGGTGCAGGAAATATCCTGTTACATATCCTGTGGGTAGCTGCCACTGGAATAGTGGGTGCTCATGCCCAGCACAGTACGTGTCTCTTCCCATGCCCCATGTACAAACTCACAGCTCCAAGGAGCCGGGGCTTCCTGCCAAAGAAAATTTATTGCATTTCCAGAAGAACACAGCAGAGAAATCAGTGTCCCTACAGCACACACAGACCCTCTTCCAATACACTGCTTTCCCAGGGCACAAAGAGAAGAGTTTGGGAGAGCAGGGAAAAGTCTCCCAGCAGCAGAAGGGTTCAGCGAGGAGCCCAGCGACCCCTTTCCCCACCTCCCTTCCTCCCCGGGGACAGGCAGCCTTTCAGAAGGGGTAGCCTGGGAAGGCGCGTGGTGCAATTCCCATCCTGAGAACGAGCCCCGCGCCTGGCTTTTCCCAGGCACAGCCTGTACAGCACTCACCCACCCGCACAAGGGAAACGCAGTGATCACTGAAAGGCTGTGGGAGAGAGCGCCGCGAGCAGGGCTGCTCAAAAGCACGGCGGGGGGGATGCGAGGCACCAGCCCTCACCAAATCCTCCAGGATCGCCGGTGCCCTGGGCTCTGAGACACTCTCACACACACGGGAGCTACCAGTGCCTCCCCAGTAGAGAAAACTCCACCTCTCCAGCTCATGGGTGCTCCAGGGTTACTGATGAGGATCTTAATGAGGTTTAAACAGGAATAAGGATCCCAGAGCAGGAATAGAGAGACAGGGAGTCGTATGCTGTACAAGAGCAGGATATCCTCCCTAATCGCTAACAGCCTGGGCAGCTCCTGCTGCAGGAGCTAGGGATGCTGCTGCCTAGAGCTTTGGCAAAATCCTCCATGGTTTCCAGTTTTGGAGGATAAAAGGAGAAAGCAGGAGGCACCTAAAGAGCTGGTACAGCAAAGAGATGAGACTGTCCCACAGCAGAGTAACACACTACAGTCCTCAGCTGCACTGGTTGTGCATGGCAGGACACCCAGACCCTGACTAGAAGGACAGCAAGGAACCCTTCATACTTATGGAAAGACACACACCATATCCATGGGCACCCAGTGAGGAGGCTTGGCCCAGCTGGGCAGCACAGAGAGCAACAACATCCGTGCAGGAGCTCAGAGGGAGTCTGTTCGCTTACGGGCAAACACGGCCGACATGGTCTTGACGATGCCACGGATCCCTGTACCCTTCTTCAGGGCCAGCTTGGTGTCTGGGATGAGCTTGGCCAGTCCATGGAAGACCATGAGGGCCCCGTGATAAGCCTCAGCTGCAGAGACCTCATAGAAACCGCAGTCTAAAGAGAGGGCCAGGAGCCGCCCCTCCTCGCTGGACACCACCCGCTGGTGGTGCAGGTCCCGTTTGTTGCCCACAATGACAATGGGCACCTTCTCTTGGCTCTGCCCCTCCTTGGCTGCCTTGATGAACTGGATTTTGAGGGGCAGGATGTTGAAGCTGGCACGGTCACAGATGCTGTAGACCAGGACAAAGCTGTCTGCCCACTGGATTCTCTTCTCCTCTGAGGAGACATCCTCTGCCTGCTCCTGGGGAAAGAGAAAAGGAAGGGTTGTTTTATTGGGCTGCCTCCCCCCACACCTGCCTGTTAGAAGAGGGCAGTCGTGAGCCTGTCAGACAGGGACAGCTAGAGAACAGCAAAAGGGCAGAGAGAAAGAGGAGTACTGAGGAGGGCAGAGCAGTAACTGGTAGAACTAACCAAGGGGGGATGATTTAGCTTTCAGCATCACACCCTAATCCTAACCCTCACCCAGCTGCCAAGCACTGCAGGGTGTAGGTGATAACAGTGTGGGGACCTCAGAGCAGCACTTCTTTAACACAGTCCTGTATTAGCATCAGTGCTTCAGCTCCAGTGTTCTCAGCCATGGGCTATGATAACTATTGCTACCCTGTCAGCAACATTGCTATCCTGTGCTTGGCAGGTGAGAAGAGTTCAGATACTTATGAACCCTCTGATTTGAGAGCCTTGCTCAACTGGAATTCCTAGCCTGTGGTTCCCCATACGTAACATCCAATAAAGGGGGATTTTGTCCCTGGGGTAGTAACGGGTGATAGAAGTGGAACCCTCTCACCTGGGAATTGGGGACGTCCCAGATGTGTAAGAGAATCTCTCGGCCATCCACAGTCAGGTTGTGGCTGTAGATGAATTCTGCTCCCCAAAAGAGAAAAAAAAAAAGAAAAAATAGTCATCTTCATGGTGTCACCAGCTGCCACCCTGGTCCTTTTGCATCCCAGAGAAGCAGTTCTGGAGCAAAGAGATGGGTCACTGAACAAATATAACATCGAGCCCCTGGGAGCAGGCAAAGGCTCTGGAGAAAGGCAGGAGAGGATGGGCTGCAATGAAATCCCACAGGCAGAGAAGCCGGGTTGTCTCTCGACTTCAGTCCCTGTTGGGAACTGGCCTGGCCCTGGCCTGGCACTCACCCATGTCTCCATACTCTCCAATAAAGCGCCGGGTCAGGAAACGCACAGTCAGAGCTGCAGAGGAAGGATAGGAGTCATCAGAATGACCAAAAACCTGGAGGATTCTCCTTTCTAAATCCAGAGCAGAGTCAGGCACCATCCCCTTGTAAACTCCTACAAGCAGAACGACCTCTGAGTTTCCCCAGCCACCAGCAGGTCTGTGAGTGCAGCAGAGGCACAGCAAGAACCAAAGCATCTGCACAATCTGGAGCATCAGCAAGCTGCAGATCAGTGGAAAATACCTTTCCCTGTCACTCCTCGGCTGGCTACAAGGTTGTGCTCAGCTTCCTCACCTTGAATCACAGCTGCACCCCAGGGCTCAGCCCCATCTCACCAATTTGCTCCATGGGCTGCTCCCTGCCACTGGTTCCCCAAACAGAGCTGCGGTTTTCAGCCTGGGAACCCCCTGTTCCAGCTCACGGTCAGTTCTCACCTGATTTCCCGACGTTGTCTGCTCCCATGACAAGGACGTTCGCTTCCATCTTCAGGGCAGTGGGGCCAGGCACCTCCATGAGGGCAGGGTGGTCGGGGGTGAAGCTGGTGCTGCGGCGCAGCGGGAGCCGGAGCCCCATGCCGAGCGTGGCCGAGCCCCTCCGGCAGTCCCGGCCGTGTGTACAACTCCGCTCGGCACAGCCGAGAGCCCCGCGCTTCCCACGGCACCCAGGGGACCCGCGAGGCACATACCCCTCCCCGCAGCCGCAGGGGCGGTGCAGAGGGAACTGCAGGCAGCCGGATGAAAAACTTTGTCATCGCTCAGATTGTCCTGAACATACGTCAGTGGCTGAGCCGGCCCTGCCAGCCCCCAGCACGGCGGGCGGCCGGGAAGCACCAGCTGTCGGCACCAGCTGCTCGGCAAACTGCATCCCAGGAGGTGCCCACGCCTCCACCTCAAGCACTTTGTGCCTCGGCAGGGCCACGTAGCCCCTTGTCCCTTCCCCATGGTGATCGTGGGAATGCCTGCCAGGAGAGGAGTGTCACAAGTGCTGGGGTGTCTCGTCAGTGATGAAGCAGCTGGTGAGAGATGCGAGTCTCTTGTGACTGACGGAGCATCTCATGGGTGGCGGAACTTTGTTTCACCAGAGATGCAACACCTCACGATTAACGGAGCGCTGCCTCGCACGTGACGAAGCATCTCACGAGGGACGGAGTCCCCTGTGAATGATGGAGCATCTCCCGAGTGATGGAGCATCTCCCGAGTGATGGAGCATTTCCCGAGTGATGGAGCTTCTCTGGAGCACCGGAGAGCCACCGCGCAACTCCCGCAGCCACGGGCGTGCCTTCGCTTCCCCCGGCCGTTCTCCCCAGGATGCGGCGAGGACCGGCCGCATCCTCCCGTCCCGCCGCATCCTCCCAGCTCGCCGCATCCTCCCTCCCGTCCCGCCGGGAGGAGCCGCTGACGCCATCGCGGCGCGCCCGGCGCGGCCATGGCGGCGGAGACGGCGGCGGTGCGGGTGGCGGTGCGGGTGCGGCCGCTGCTGCCCCGGGAGGCGCTGCGGGGACACCGGTCCTGCCTGCGGGGCGATGCCGCCACCGGCGAGGTGGCGCTGGGCCGCCGCCGGTTCCGCTTCGCCGCCGTGCTGCCCGAGGCGGCGGGGCAGGCGGCCGTGTACCGGGCCTGCGTCCAGCCGCTGCTGCGCGCCTTCTTCCGCGGCTTCAACGCCACCGTCTTCGCCTACGGACAGACCGGCTCCGGCAAGACCTACACCATCGGGGAGGCCAGCGTCGGTGAGTCTCGCAGGGACCGGCGGCTCTGTGCCCGCCAGCATCCCCGTCCCTCCAGCATCCCTGCTCTACCAGCATCCCTGCTCTGCCAGCATCCCCGTCCCTCCAGCATCCCTGCTCTACCAGCATCCCTGTCCCTCCTGCATCCCTGTCCCACCAGCATCCCTGTCCCGCCAGCATCCCTGTCCCTCCTGCATCCCCACCACCCTCCGCTCTCCTCACCAACCCCACATCACCACCTCCTTCCATCTCCATCCCCAGCCAAGCCACCCACACTACCATTATCCCAGCCATCTCTCCCAACCCACCAGCCTCACCGGTGCTCCTGTCCACACCCATTTCAGCACCTTTGCTCTCTCTACCCAAACCCAGCTGTATCATCATCTCCATCACTTCCACTTTCACTCCCTGTTCTGGTTTAGGACAACTTTTTCTTTCTGGTTTAATGGCATTGTGATTTCTTAAGAGGATATACTGTAAACATTTCAGTCATCTTTAGGTAATGGCATCATTTGTAAACACTAAATTGTTTCATACTTTCAATCTATGTCTGTTTTCAGTCTCCCAGTTTAGGCCATCATTGCACCAAATTTGGGAGTTGCCATTTTATATGGCTATTGGAGACAAAAGGAAAAACATTTAAATTCAGACGGTGGAGTGCTGTGGCCAGATATAAGCAAGCTGCAAGCACCAAAAAAAGAGAAAAACTTATCAGAGCTGGAAAAAGTTGTGGAGTCACGCTGGCTTCAAAGGACAGCACGCTGTAGCTGCAGGCATGGTGTTTGATACTCACTAAAATGCTGAGGTGCTTTTTCCTTCTTGAGGAAGGACTGGAAACAAGCAGCTTTGCTGGATTCCAGCACAGCAGTGGGATAGGATTTGCCCAGGGGTCTTGTGGGATGTATAACCCAGGCTAGGAGGGCTGAGTTGTGTGAGAGAGAGTTGTGAGGCTGCTCCTTTCCAGCTGACATGTGTTGCAGGCAGGCTTCTGACCTCAGCTCTGTCCCCATCCAGTGTGGGGTCCCTGGATATTCCCTGCTCTCCATGAGCATTTGCCTCTCTTTGCCAGCTTCCATCAATGAAGATGAACAGGGCATCATCCCACGAGCCATGGCTGAGACCTTCAGGCTCATCGATGAGAATGACCTGATCGACTACACAGTCCGAGTGTCCTACCTGGAAGTGTACAAGGAGGAGTTTCGGGACTTGCTGCAGGTGGATACAGCCAGCAAAGACATCCAGATCCGGGAGGATGACAAGGGGAACATTGGTACGTGTGGCTGTGCATAGGCTTTTTCTCCCCATGTTGTAAGCCAGAGCGGGGTTATCTGTCCATGAAGGCAGAGCCAGGTCTTCTCCCTCCATCCCTTTGTCTCCTGCAGCAGTTTGCTGTGCTTAATCTTGAAAGCTGATCAGGGCAAGGCCCAGTACAGGCAGGGTGACAGCACCAGGCTGTGCAGAGGAGCTGCATCCTCGGGCAGCCCATCCCTCCCAGCCACAGCTGCCTTTGCTTTGCAGTGCTCTGCGGTGTGAAGGAATCAGAAGTGGAAGGGCTGGACGAGGTGCTGAGCCTGCTGGAGATGGGGAACACAGCCAAGCACACGGGAGCCACCCACATCAACAGGCAGTCGAGCCGCTCGCACACCATCTTCACAGTGACCATGGAGCAGCGGCGTGGGGCCGGCCGGCTGCCCCTGCACCACCGCCCGCCCGCCGTGCCTGCCGCCGGACAGGTCCTGGTGTCCAAGTTTCATTTCGTGGACCTGGCGGGCTCAGAGCGAATTGTGAAGACGGGAAACACAGGGGAGAGGCTGAAGGAGAGCATCCAGATCAACTGTGGCCTCCTGGCCTTGGGCAACGTCATCAGTGCCTTGGGAGATCCTCGGAGAAAGACCACCCACATCCCGTACAGGGACTCCAAAATCACCAGGTACCTCCGGGACCAGGACCCCCCAACGTCTCACGGGCTCACTTTATAGGGCTGCCCTCTCTGTGGGTTTTCATGTAAGGAATCTCGAGGAGTAATGAGGCCAGGATAGAAATGCAGGCGTAGTTCATTGCAGTGCTGGAGACAACGAGGCTTGCATGAGTTGTGCTGCTGAAGCTGAGATGAGGTGTTGCTGTGGGTTATCCTGCCCTTCCTGAATGGCAGGGAATAAAAAATACTCACAGCAGACTTGTTTAATGGTCTACAGTTAGTTCTTGGCTGGTGCAAGTGCCTTTGCTATCTCCAGCAGGACCCCTGTCAGCACAGAGTCAGGGAGCTCCCAGCCTCAGGAGTTATTTGGATGGAGACTTGCCGTGGTGCAAACTTTTAATCCTCTGCTTAATGACTCCATTCATCTCACTAGTGCCAAACCAACTACAGAGCAAGGACATAATTTTCCTTGGGCTTAAATGGGTTGAAAAACATTCTGTTTCCTGTGTTATTTTGTATTTCTGTTATTTTAATCCCTGTGCTCTACCTTAGGATCCTGAAAGACTCTCTGGGAGGGAATGCCCAGACCGTGATGATAGCCTGTGTCAGCCCATCATCCTCTGACTTCGACGAGAGCCTCAACACGCTGAACTACGCCAGCCGGGCTCAGAACATCCAGAACAAGGCGGTGGTGAACTGCCGCAAGGAGACGGAGCACATCGAGGAGCTGCACCTGCAGATACAGAACCTGCAGAAGGCGCTGGAGCAGCGGCAGCGCTCCGAGACCCGCATCATCCACCGCTCGGGAAGCGCCAAGCGCGGCGCGCCGGACGCCACGGCGCGGCTGCTGGCCGAGTGCGCCCACTACCGCACCTGCACCGACGCCGCGTACCGGCTGCTCACCGAGCTCCAGGAGGACGGCAGCCTGAGCCTGGAGCAGATCCTGCGCGTTAAGGAGTGGCTGTGCGCCGTGGAGAGCGAGAGGAGCGAGCTGACCTCGGCCGGGCTGGATAGCGGCATTGAGAGCACCTCCATGGAGGACCAGGGACTGGAGGCACAAGGTTCAAAGCTAGCAAAAGCCCAGGTAATAATGGGGTGTTACAGCTCTGAGGTTGGGTTCATCTCATGGCCACAGCAGCCCCCGCACAGCATGATGGAAGGGTCAGGAGAAGTAACCTGTTCAGGAGGCTCTAGGGAGGCAGAAGGACATGGTCCTCCCAGCAGGCAGGGCGAAAAGGGATTGAGCTGCAGCTGAGAGATTTATTGCACAGGAAGAACCTGGTTCTGCAGAGCTGTTGTGTCCTTTTAGAATCCAGCATGGGAAGGGAATGACAAAGGTGGATGCTGATGCTGCCTCTCTTTTATTTTGGGGAGCAGGCGAGCACTGAGAAGAAGTGTGAGTCCATCAAAGATGAGCAGGTGGCCAAGCTGCAGAGGCAAGTAGAGCGCCTGGAGGAGGAGAACCGTGATTTCCTGGCTGCCCTGGAGGATGCTATGGAACAGTATAAGCTGCAGGTATTTTCTGGGCTCTGCTCTCTTTGTAGGGACCTGCCCCACTCCTCTCCTTCCTACCCTGGGGTGCTCAACCCAACTTTCAGGTTCCTCTGCACTGGGTCTCAGATCAACATGTATGTAACCACATTTTTCTCATTGTTTCCTAGAGTGACAAACTGCAGGAGCAGCAGGATAAGATCTCAGAGCTGCACGTGCGCTTGGAGATGGCAATGCCAAACCTGTGTGTGCCAGGACTGCTGGAAAATCTTCACCTGGTGACTGCCAGCCAGAGACCTCACACAGCCCCACTGGATGCTGCCCCATCCCATTGCCTTGGTGGGGTTCCCTCAGGGCTGCTTTCTGAGCAGAGTGGAAGAGCTCTTTGCAAGAAGGTGAGGGCATAAGGCTGTGCCATTGAAGAACTGCTGCCTCTTCACATGGCTTCTCTCCACTGTAGGAGAGCTTTTACCCTGCTGTTTTATGTGATCCTTGTCAGAAGTGTAGTCCAGAGGACTGTGCTCAGTATTCAAATCCAGAGTTTTACAACTCTGGCAAAAACAGCCCAGCTTCAAAACTGAGGCTTTTGCTTTCATGTTGTGGGTGAGTCCCAGATTTGTTCAGTGTTTGAGCAGCAGAAGCACAGGCAGCTGGGTCTGGCAACACACCGATTCTCCTGAAAATACACTCAATCCATTTTGTTGCTTTTATGTCTAGCAGTGATGCTCAGCTGGGAGCCGCTTTTTCTAACACTGGCTCTCACACAGCTTGTTTCCTCTCTTTCCAATTCAGAAGCTCAGCAGTAGCTCCTCCTTGCAGAAGGAGGAGCCAGCAGGCTGGCACCCAAACCACGCACAGCGCCTGAGCGGCGATCCTGAGGTCAGAGAGGTGGTGCTGAGGAGGGAGCTCAGCCAGGACTCAGAGAAGCCATCAGAACTATCCTCAGGAGAGGAGATGGAGGAATGGGAACAGAAACAGTCCCTGTCCCAGTGCCGGTGAGTTGGGGCTGTCCCAGCCAGCTGTCCCTGTGCAGTGCCCTGGCAGTGCCCTGGCAGTCCCACCACTGCAGCTCAGCTCTCACGGGTGATGTAGGGCAAATGCTGTCTGTGGGGTCAGTGATGCTGCTGAGACACCTTACTGCTCCCTGGGGAGCTCATTACCATCATTCCTGACCACAGCTATTGTTTCCATCCCATTCTGAAGCCTGTGGATCATGAGGGTCCTTACTGGGAACAGCTTTAGCAGGGCTCAGACCAAACTGATTAATTTGTTTCTCCTTCTAGAAATGGGATCCAAAATTTGAGCAAGAAGGAGATTTTCAAGTTGAGCGAGGAGCCAAGTGGAGGCAATGCCCACTCAATACAGGAGGAGCAGCTGGAGCTGTCAAAAGGCAAGTAGCAACCATAGGTTATTGGACAATCTTCCATGGGCTTGTGGTGCTTCACTGGGTGATCTTGATGTCCACCTGGATGTGCCCAGAGGACAAAAATGGAGCAAAAATGGAACCCAGCTGCTTTTTTAGGGAGAAACTTGAATTCCTAGGGTCTGGCGAGGCCATGTGTTTTGGTGGAAGCTTCAGGTGACTCTGGGCAATCCTGTGCCAGACTCTAGCTACAGATCCAAGATCAGATTATCCTTCTGTCACCTGTCCACTAAGATAGGATTTTCCTGACCTGGGAATCTGTGTTTCAGAGGTCTGTGGGAAGCAGGAGTCACTGCTTGGTTCCTGGGAGCGCATGGCAGGGAAGGACTCTGAGTGGAGGCTGGTGCAAGCACAGCAGAAGATTCGAGAGCTGGCAATCAACATCCGCATGAAGGAGGAACTGATCACGGAGCTCATTAAGACAGGTGCAGAGCTACTGGAAGGAATATGCACCCATTTCCCATGAAACCTCCTCCTAGTTGTGGTGCTTAGTCTCTTCCATCCTCATCTTCTCTCCCTGTGTTGCTTGTGCTGAGTCTCTTCCCCTATAAGCAGCAGGGCCTTGTTTCTCCATCCCTCCAGCTGACAGAAACCCTTCCCACTGGTTTGTCCCTTCCCTGGAGTGGCTGAGGGAAAGGGAACATTCAGTCTCTGTAGCCAAAAATACTTGGGGAGAGGGAGGAAGGGTCAGGATCTTGGCTGTGAGAGACGGGACTGCGTTGCAGGCAAGGACGCCCAGGCTCTGAACAGGCAGTACAGCCAGAAGATCAGTGAGCTGGAGCAGGAAGCAGAGCAGGTGCGGGCAGAGCTGAGCGACAGCCAGAAGCAGCTCCAGGAGCTGGAGGGCAAAGAGCCGTGGGACCCAGGGGAGAAGCGCAAGCTGCAGGAATTCCGCACACGCGTGGCGGCCGCGCAGAGCAAGGCACAGGTGAGGGGGAAGGGCTCTGCCCACCCCGGCGCTGAGCAGGGGCAAAGCTGGGGGCATCTGTGCAAAGAGAGGAGATGCTGAGGCCAAGGGTGGTTTCCACCCTCTGGCAGGTTCTGTGCAGGAAGAAGCAGGCGACAGAGAGGCTGGTGTCGCTGTCGGCACAGAGCGAGAAGCGCGTGCAGGAGCTGGAGAGGAACATCCAGCTGATGCGGCGGCAGCAGGGGCAGCTGCAGAGGCGGCTGCGAGAGGAGAGCGAGCAGAAACGGCGGCTGGAGACAGAGGTGAACAAGGGACAGCACCGAGTCAAGGTAGGAGAGAGCAGGAGCAGCTGTGCTACTGTGGTGGTTGTGAGGATGACAATGGGTGGGCTCTGATGTTGTCTGTGATTGTCTTGGAGAGCATTGAGATGGAGAGTATCCATCCAAAGAGCTAGAGGACAACATAACCTGTCCCTCAGTCCATGGCCATAGGGCAAACATCTCCCGCTCCCTCCCTGCTCATGGCTGCTCTTTCACACGCAGGAGCTGGAACTGAAGCACGAGCAGCACCAGAAAATCCTGCGCATCAAAACAGAGGAAATTGCGGCTTTCCAGAGGAAGCGGCGGAGTGGCAGCAATGGTTCTGTGATCAGCCTGGAGCAGCAGCAGGTACAGACAGCAAGCCTGCCTCCGCTTTCCTGTTCAGAGGGGATGCTTGGCAGACTGCAGGCTGATGGGAGAGTGCTGAAAACAGGGACCTGAGCCCATCCCATCCGTGAGAAGGACAGTCCATAATGTCATTTGTACTTAGTAGCAGAGGATTTAAGTTCTTGTCTTAGCCTCAGAAACAGGATCTCATCTAAATCATTGGTAAAGAAGCTTTGAAATTTTGTCTGCTAGCAGAAGGGTGGTGAGGGATGTGCCCTCCAAGAACTCCTTGACAATTGGGAATTTAGTTTAGCTCTGCCTCTTGGAGCAGTTGGAAGGATAAAAACAGTGAAGTCCGGGTGATAAGGGTTAGCAGAGATGGAATAGGGACTCCTGCCCGGATCTCAATCCCACTGCTCTTTAGTCCAGCAGTCCTGGACATTGCTGTTGCTGTCTGCACACACACACGCCTTTTGCTTCTCCCTCAATCAGAAAATTGAGGAACAGAAGAAGTGGCTGGACATGGAAATGGATAAAGTTCTCGAGCAGCGCCGGGCCCTAGATGAGCTGGAAGATGAGCTGAGGAAGCGAGAAGCTATTGTGGCCAAAAAAGAAGCCCTGCTGCAGGAGAAGAATGGCCTAGAGAGCAAACGGCTGCGCTCCAGCCAGGTAGGACAAGAATGAGACACCTTAACCCTTTGCTTGATTTCCAGCAGAGTGGAGGCTGGAAGACCTGGGTCTGGCAGAGGGCTGCAGGCCAGGATGAGGTGGTGTTGGGAAGTGGGTAGGAAATCTTGTCTCTATGAAAGAGTCTGGTTGTACTGTGCCTCTGAGCTTGTTGGTTTGGTAGCCCTTGGCTTGTGTCTGTCTGGGGGGTCACTTGACCTACAGAGAAAGTAGAATGGGGCTGAGGGCCTGACTTGCCTTTAGAGCAGGTCCCCTTGAGCATCTTCTGCTGCAGGCCCTGACAGATGACATAGTGCGTGTGTCCAGCCGCCTGGAGCACCTGGAGAAGGAGCTGAGTGAGAAGAACGGGCAGCTGCGCCACGGCAGCGCCCACGACCAGCAGCAGATCCGCCAGGAGATCAACAGCCTGCGCCAGGAGAAGGACCAGCTGCTCAAACAGAGGCTGGAGCTCGACAACAAGCTGCGCCAGGGCACGCTGCTGTCCCCAGAGGTACCTCTGCTGGGGCTGGGGAGCAGGAGGTTGTAGGACAGAAGTAAGGAGCATGAGGTCATTGGCAGATGCTCCCCTGCATCCCAAACTGCATTTCTCAGCTTCTCACCAACACTATTGACATGACAAGGAAGGTTAGGGCAGGGTGAGACAGAGCAAACCCTTTGCTCCTCAGTAACTACAGCTCTGCCCTGGCAGGAAGAACGGATCTTGTTCCAGCTGGATGAGGCAATCGAGGCTCTGGATGCAGCCATAGAGTACAAGAATGAGTCCATCACGTGCAGGCAGCGAGTCCTGCGGGCCTCAGCCAGCCTGCTGTCCCAGTGTGAGATGAACCTCATGGCCAAGCTCAGCTACCTCTCCTCCTCTGAGACACGAGCTCTGCTCTGCAAGTACTTTGACAAGGTGGGAGACAACTGCCCTTTGTGCTGGTGGGAGCTGTATTTCATTTACTGGCTGTTAGTGATTGCATTATTAGCCAGCCAGAACACATAATAAACATAACACAGCTTGAACACACTTGTTAATAGAAATTATGATCTGACCAAACTCTTGTTTACCTCAGTTTCAAGCATTCTCCTTGCATCATACTGTAGTTTTGCCTTGTAAAGTCAGGCCACAAAGCCATAGCACCATGACCCCCAGCTGGGAGAGGGGTTTAACTGGTCATAGGATGCATGGATCCCTGCAGTGGCTCTGCCACATCAGTGCAGCCACACCTTGCTCTGACATCCCAGCACTACTAACTTTTGTAAGCTGTACCAAAAAACTAACGTGACTGGGACTCAGCGGGGCAGGAAATCTTCCCAGGCATGAAGGAGCTGAAGTGTTCCTTGCTCTTGGGCCCGGGCCAGGTGGTGACACTGCGAGAGGATCAGCACAGGCAGCACATTGCCTTCTCAGAGCTGGAGATGCAGCTGGAGGAGCAGCAGCAGCTGGTGTACTGGCTGGAGGCAGCCGTGGAGCGCCAGCGCCTGGAGATGGACCGCCAGCTCACCCTGCAGCAGAAGGAGCACGAGCAGAACATGCAGCTACTGCTGCAGCAGAGCCGTGGTAACCCCCCAGCTCTCCAAATGGGCAGCAGGGCTACTGCTTTTGTCTTTCACAGGGCTCCCAGGCTGAAATAGCCTTGTTTTTTCTTGTAGAGCACATGGACGAGGGGCTGGCCAGCAGCAAGCTGCAGTATGAGGCGAGGATTCAAGTGCTGGAAAAGGAGCTGAGCCGTTACAAGTGGGCAAACCAGGAGCTGAACCAGAGACTGAGTAACATGAACCTCCACCCTGGGCAGACCAAAGGTGAGAGGAAACCCAGGCTAGGGCTTTGCTTTTCCTGCCAAGTTAATAGGGAGGTTCAGTTCCCATGCCTGGCAGTGAGCTTGGAGCAGTCCAGAGCAGTGCCATGTATAGGTCCTTCAGCAACTGCTACACAGGCACCAATTTTGATGAGGAAAGTAGAGATCCTGATACTCACCTCACTGTACCCTCAATTTTTCCCAGCAGGGATGGAGAGAAGCATTCATGGGGCTGGGGACAGAGGTGCCCCTGAGCTTGGCACCTGTGAGGAACTGAGCCTCAGGGAGCAGCCCGTGCCTCCAGCTGAAGAGAGCCCTCGGGCCAGGGAGGACAGCAGGGACCTGGTGCACGCCCCTTTGCCCTCGACATGGAGGCGTTCCTCGCTGCCCAGCGACAGCCCCGGCGACCCTCGGCAGAGGGACACAGAGCACTCGCTGCGAGCAGGGCAGCCCCACGAGCTGCTCCCACCACGGAGCCTGGCTCCTGCTCCCAAACCCCGCCGGGAGCTGCGCAGAGCCAGCCTCAACATGAGCCCAGTGCCTTATCACCCAGCCATGATAGATGTGAGGAAAAACCCGCTCTAGAGCCAGGCTTAGCACTCACCTGGCACAGGGCAGGGAGCAGCAGCTATTGCTGATGGGAGTCTGAGAGCCCTCCTGCCCCACAAGCCAGCCTGGCTACAACCCTGTTACATTTCAGAGGCCTGCAGAAGAGAAAGATGTGACTTGTTACCATGAGGGAGTTGAGTGTGTGAGGTTGGGAGACCAACCTGCATTTTACATGTTGCTGCCAGTCCAGGCAGCACTGACAGGATGCTTTTCCTCTGCTCCCTCAGCAGCTTAAACACTGTGAAGCAGGAGACACTTTCCTTCCAGGCCTCTTAACACTAAAAACTTGTTTACAATGTGGAATTCTCAGCTGAAGGGCTTGCTCAGCCCTGGCAGCCTCGGAGGGAGATGCTCTGCAATCCTGCAGAATTTGTACATACATTTTTGTAGTAACTTCGGGTTTTTTACATTTCTACTGTAACTTTTCTAATAAAGCAGAGTGAGTTTTATGAAATGGTCACTTGTCAAAAGGGCCACTTATTCCCGGTATGTAGGAAAGGACTTGTATTTAAATCTCGCTGCATGGGAAGGCAGGTGCTGCCACTCTGTTGGCCTAATGTTTAAATACCTGCTTTAAGTAGTCCCAGCCACATCTAGCAGACCTCCAACATTAAATTGCCACAGGAAGAGCATCTGCAGTCAGCAGTAGAATTGCCTGAAATGTCTGTGATCGAAGTAACTCTGGTTGTTTTTCTCTTGCAGCCTCTAGGCTGCTTTAAGCAGGGTTTTCATATTCTTGAGAGCTTCCAGTCTGGATTTAAGACAGTTTAAGTACAATCCTGCAGCTTAACACTGACAGCTCAGGAAGGAAGACTAAGTTTAACTCTGGCAGGGCAAGAAATGAAAGCCCAGATATCTGCTTTAAGAAGGGCAAGGGGCAGGGGACAAGGGCTGCTTGACCACTTGACTCTAAAAACAAGCCACTGCTTCAGCCTGAAATGAGAACAGCTACCACATGCACCAAGTTAAAAGGCAGTATTTGATATAAGAACCACTTTCTGATCTCCTACATCCTTGACCCTTCCTGTAGTGGTGTGACAGTGAGGGGGGATATTATTGAGGGCTCTGTATGTGGCTGAGCTACGCAAGATTAAGTTCAGACAATATTTCCTGTTGTTCAAAACAGGACCCTCAACCGGGAAAATAACAATCCATCCTACTTGGAAGTAAGTAGTAGATTTGGAGTTCCAAGCTTGTGCCACTCCACATCCTTGAAGCAGGTGCAGCTCTCCCAGAAGCAAAACAATCACTTAAGCACAGGGTTCTGCCCCTCTTCCCAGCAGGAAATTAACAGCTTTCCTGCAACAAATAGTGTCCCTCAAAACCTTAAAGGACCTTACAAACCTGATTTCCCATGCCTTGTTTTAGAACGACCTCGTACCTTCTTCATAGCTCTCCATTTCCTGTGCAGTCAGTAGACACACAGTGGGGTGACTGCCCCCAAGATCCTGCTATGCACAAAGAAATCCCAAGGAAAAAAATTCAGCCCTTCCAATATTAAGCACAATTTTAGCCCCTTGTAGGCTACATCTTGGGCACTGAACGACAGCCCCTGCTCTATTCATGGGGTTAGAACACAAATGTGTCACAGGCAACTAAACTACTATTTAATCCATGACTCAGTTTGGTTTGGAGCAGTCTTGAAACTCATCTTCAGTTATTCCAAGTTTCATTTCTCAAGGACGCTTCCCCAGCCAATTCTCTCTGGCTTACTGCAAGTTTGCAGAAAAGGACAATGAAGTCATTCCATCAGCATCTGCTTATCCAGCAGTAGCCAGGAGCGGATACACCAAACCATTCATGATCTACAAAGATGTTCCCAGTTAAATTATATTTCTCCTTTTCTGTACTCTTGGCACTTGGCTAATTAATTAATCCACTTGTTATTTTCCACTAAGCCATGGCAAACTGGATGCAATTAACAGAGGGATCCATTTAGTATCAGGACAAGACACAGCAGGAGCAGGCAGCTTGTTCTGTACCCATTCGCCTCCAGCATCCTCCTTCCTGCAGCCCCCATCCCTCAAGCCAAAGACAGATTTTGGATTAAAGGACACAATGAAAATTCATATCAGTTTATTTTACAAGAAAGCTGTAGAAAAGTGGCAGTTCTCCCTCTTGACCTGGGAGAACTGGACCTTCACTGCAGAACTCACTCTAAGCTTCCATTAGCAGAAAGACCAAGCTAGGCTTTGAATGGATGGAAGAAACTGTAACTTTTTAGAGTGGTCCTTATTTCTATTGCCATGTGCTTGCATCCAGTCTCCTACCAACACAAGGCAGCTCCAGTCCAGCACCAAACTCCAGTCTTTGTTAAAAGGTGTGTTGTACAGCTGGGATAATACAAAGTTTTCCATGCTGGTCTGGCTCCAAACTTCAGCTGAGCAGCTTTTTCCTTGAGTAAGTCCTGCTAAGGCGATGCCTCCTGGAAACCATGATGTGGAATGGAGACAGCTCCTGGTTGGCAGTAATTTGGACAGCATCAGATTCCTCTTCTACAACAACAGAAAGAATACATGAAAGCCACAGTTTATCAGAATTCACTGGTGATTCCAAGAAGCCAAATACCAAATGGAGACAAGAACTGGAAGTTGCACTTCCCATGTAGCTGCTCTCTTCATTGCAACCTTTCCTCCCAAACTTCCCAGTTCATGCCAAGTTTCTTGTAAGCATGTGAGACTGAGACACTGAACACAGCAGTGGCAGATACAGTCACAAGTTTTCTGCCCAGAGCCCGACCCCTAGCACAGCATGATTTTGTTCTTATTAGCTGGAGGCCAGCAGAGAGCCCAGCCTCTCCTCTCCTGTGCTTACCTCGAACACGCTTTCTCTGAGCCGGTGGTGGGGACAGCAGGGGAGACTGGGTCAGGGCTACAAGGCTGCTGGCAGAAAGTCCACTCTTCAAGGGTGGAGTGGAGCCTGGAGAAGCACAGGGAGATGCTGCAGCAAAACCACTCAACAACTCAAATGTTAACATCACACACAGCCTTTATGCTACCTCAAAACTGACATCAGTGTAAGTGATACTTTGAGTTTATCTGAAACAAACTCTAGGCTGTCACAGTGGTGTTTTAAGTACAGCCTGAGCCAGGAGGCTGTTTTAGCATTTGTGGTGCATTAGTGATGTTTTAGTATTTGAGAAAGGTAAATGGCAGTCTGGAATCAGCTCTTAGCACATTAAATTTTTTTAACTAGCTTAGCAGAAAATCACTTCACTTGTATTAAACACAGGTAATTCACATTTCCTGAAAGAAAACTGTTACAGCCACAATGATCTAAAAATATAAACACAAGTTCTGTAGGTACAGAAAGTCTCTTACAGGACTATCTTAAGGCTAAGCACTGGTATTACTTCATGTCCTGAATATGGATTAATGTTGCTTCAAGGTTTGGCCTTTTTTCTGTGATAATGCTGAGTAAGACACTGCCTCTGTATACAAATCTTGCAAGAGAAAACAGACACCAAAGCTTAGTGCAATGACTACGGAACACACCTGCCACAGCTCCCTGTAATTTCTACAATACTGGATTAAGTATTTGAAATTCACAAGGCCTTGTGTACAGAGCTGAACAGCCTGTTTCACCAAGATTAGCTGAAGTGTCTGAATCCATAGCAAAAGCAAAGAGACAGCTCAGATCTATACACCTACTGATACATTATTGCTAGCAAGGGAATCATTCCTTTCAAGGGGCCCACCATCACAGGCAGAGACAACTGGAGCACCAATAAATACCAACATCCACAGGACTAACCCCACCAAGACTCCAGTCTGAAGCACTGAAGTAGCAAAGCTTTACACTTAAGATTTTTGGCTTCAGAGCTGGATGCTGGGCAGAAATAACCAGTGGCATCAACATAAACCTGAACAAATCACCAGCTGGATGCAACTGGGATCCTCTCTCAAGTTCTCAAACCTTCCTTTTAGTTCCCCCAGCCGCCTGGTCTTTCATATTTCTCTGCTCTCTCTTCCATCATTAATACTCCTCATATCCAGTCTGCCTCTGCACATAATTATCTTCCATGTCATCTACAAGCCACTCTCCCTCAGATAATTACACAGACAACAACTGTGTTCTTGTTTTAGTCTAACCTCCATTTTTAACCACATCTGAATTTCAATGGAGTGTCTTTCATGCCATTTAATTACCTGACAGAAGGAAGACATCATCATCCCCTAGAGAACTGTGGTGCTCCAGTGTTTTGAGAGCACACACTCCTGGTTTCTCAGGAAGTACACAGTCTGTCCTTGATTTATTTCTGTTGCCCTCATCTGTGGAAAAGCCAGTGAGCTCCAAGCTGCCCCTATCAGTACACGATCTCTTGGCACTGTGATTCTCCTCCTTTTCTGGTGACAGGTAAGTAAAGACTCGCTTCCGAGATTTCAAGCCAAAAGTTCCCACGGCAGAGTCCTCATCAGCCCTCGGCTCAGAGTCACTAGGAGATGCCTGATCCTGGAGCCTGCAAATCCCTTCCAGTTCGAATTCCCCAAGAGTATTTGTTACTTTGCTGCTGCAGTGTTCTGAGATCCTCATGGTTTTCTCTCTGCCTGCTGACACCCGTGTCCGTTCATCAGCATTCCTCTCGCTCTGACCACAGCTCACATTAGCAGTGCTGCCTGCTGCTCTCTTCCTCCGAGGCCAGTCATTGATGGCATCAGGAGTGGTCTTCCCCTTCTGCTTTGGAGAAGGTGTCCGGAGAACTCCTGCCTCCAAGGGGAACGGGGAGGTGACAGCAGAGGCACAGCTTGTTGGGGTGTACGACTGGCATATGTAGGTCTGTCCTGCACCTTTCCCAGGTGTACTATGGAAAGAACGGCAGCAGGATGGAGAAACACAGGCAGCTGCTAGTTTTCCTGGGTGCTTGCTGCACCAGGTCATAGCAAAATCACTGAAGGGGCTTTCTCCTCCCTTGGGTTTGCTGGCACTTGCTTCAGGTTGAACTTCCAATGATGAGCAAGAGCCAATTTTCTTAATGCGAAGCTTGGGCAGGCCTGAAGCTTGCATTTCCATTTCCACTTCGTACGTCGGCGAGCTGGCAGAAGGAAGTTTGCAATGACTTTCAGGAGTGGAGAACTTGGCTGTGAACTGTGGCTCTCCCATGCGTGCCGCAGCCTCCCGCTGCCTCCTGTCTGCAGTGCAGCGCAGGGAATAGGCAGGAGGAGACTTCTGCACGGGAGGTGATGTTTTCAGGGCAGATCTGAAGCGTCTCTTCACACTTGGAGCTTTTAGTCCCATATATTCTTCCCTCAGCAGAGTTCTTGCTTCCAAGTCATCACTAGCTGTTTGCAAATCACTTAGGAAGGACTCACAGGTGTTTGCACTGCAGTTCTCCCCCTTAACTGATGGCTCACAGTCTCTCTCAGCATTCTGTGCATGTTCCTGCCCTCCAGCAAAAGGCTTTGGAGACAAACGGTTTTCCAAGTTCTCCCTTGAAGGAGACTTTTGAGACACTCT